AGAATGTAATGAACCAAGCTAAATTTAGGCATGACTTCTTAGGGATAAGGTAGTAAGAGCTCAGTTTATTCTTATCACTTATAAAATACGTGCTTCCTTTTCTTTCAGGCCTCTTAATTAGGCATAAAATGAGGATTCTTGAGGTGAACTAAAGCAGAAACTGTAAAGGTGATTGGTACTTCAGTTTGGTACTATTTGAGATCCTGCTATATGTATCAGTCCAGGCAATAAGATGTAGGAACATAGGTTATTTTGGATCCATGCGAGCGGTGCAGCTAGACTGGTATCCTGTCGGCAGCGTTGCTACATACCAAATTCTAAAAGAAGGACTAAGAAGTTTGTTGCAGAGATCTGCTGAATAGCCACCATGCTTCCCTTTCACCTTCTTTGCTCCTGCTTGATGGGTTCTGTGAGATGTTCGAAAAATATCTAGAAGAATTCATTAATCTCTTAATGAATTATTAAGTAATTCATAAACTGTTACTTATTTTTAAGCTACTTATTAAGGAAAAAATAAATCTCTAAAACTGTTCAGTCGGTACCTGTTCATTCTGAGAAAACAGTGATGAAACAGCAGAGCTCATATATACATTATAGCGTTATGCTGATTACCCTTGTCTCTCTCTCTGTCGGGCTCTATCCGTCTAGAAGAACTACAGCTTCTCAACTATGACTGAGAGATAGGACCAGAAGAGAGAACTAGCTTTGATTTTGTGTGGGTTGTCAATATTCATAATACTGGCATATAATCTTTTCTTTATGTTGTAAGTATGCACATTTACAGAATCGATCAACTCTAAGAGGTGGGTTTCGCGACAATGAGGTGTGAAACAGAAGAAATGTATTCCTGCACACATATATATCATTCATTGCCCTTCTGATTTGGACACCTGTGGTAGCATGAATTCCTTCCGGTACCTTTCTCCAGCTATCCTGATCCTGTTTCCTATGCTATCGTCTACAGTCTAGACTATAAGACAATGTGATTCAGAGTTGGTAAGTGATTTCAAGACCCGTCACAGGAGCCACGACAGCTGGTAAGATGCCAAACCTGTCCAATCTAGCTTATTCATTGTCTTCAACCCTACTGACTTAAAATTTATGTGAATGTTTATTTCAGCCTCGAGTTGTAGGTGGCATGAAAATTTAGGCACTGCAAGAACAGGGTGACAGCTGTCCGTCTTGTTTTTCACTAGCTTGAAAACTACTAATCATCATAAAAAAACTTAACGAAAGGTCCACTCAGTTCTCTGGGACAATATAGGGTTAATATTCTATATATCTGAGAATGTGCCAGTTTGAGCAATTTTTGAAAGCTAGAAAAACTTGAAAGTTTTGCTCTCTTCGGTCCCACTGTACAAACCAAAAGACAAGTGCTCTAACGATTGGAAGTGATTAGACGGTTGTCCCGTTGCTCTAGCCCTTCAGTTTGAAAATGTGGAGAGGAATGTTCTGTTTGATACTATTAAATGAAAGCTTTACTCTGGAGGGAAAAACCTCTGGATTGAAATATACTCATCCCCACCTGTAAAAAATTATCTTTTTTTCCCTAACAGAGCTAGTTCTAAAACCCTTGTGTAATCCTTTTGTCAGTTCCTCTTTTGTGCCAAGGGGGATATAGAGATAAAAAGGTGTTGTAGGCAGAGCGAAAGAAAATTGGCTGTGTAGCTGAAACTGTAACAGATAGTAGTCTTAGCTCTGAGGCCTTGGTTCAAAATCGAGATCGAGAGGGTAACTGTCAAATGTTCCTGAGTGAGAAGAATTTACTGTCAAGAAAGGCTGAGTGAGAGCTGTCTTCGCTGACGGGAAGTGACAGGATCCTCCCCTGGAACGTGAGCAGTACAAGGGCGACATGCTGTTTGGGCATGACACCAGTGGGAATTGAGGGCGTTTAGGAACCTTTAGCGGAGATCAGGTTTGAACAGCTTTAAATCCTGTTTTCTGCCTAGAAGAATTTCTTACGACTGCTGAAAACCTATAGTTTTCAGTATGCCCAAACTCTTGCCTGCCAAACAGAGCAATTATGTGACTGGAACTGTACTTTAGATTTTTCTGTGTGCTAAACCAATTAAAAGCTATCATTGTGCTTCAGCGTTATGAGATGGAGTTTTGTAATGAAACCAGTTCTGAGGTTCATATGAACGTTTGGCACAGGTTTCCTGTTTCTGACTCACCTTCCCTCTTCTATCTGCAGCTAAATTGTGATCAGAATGGAAGCTAATTTAGTAATATTTTAAATAAGTTATTCCAAAGCTAATTAAAATAAGTGGGAATCTTCCTATTGATTTCAGTAACACTTGATTCTTATTCGCCTGGAGGGTTGTTTTGCCAGCAACTCAGATCCAAGGGGCAGATGAAAGAAAAGCTTTTGTAACGATAGTTGGAGAAGGAGGAAGAGGCCAGCTGGTTACTGCAGAGTATGAGAACCCATCACGCTATACAAACCCTTTCTGTCTTTTCAGATTAGCTTGGATTCAGTCGGTCTTGGTTTAAGTTCAGGTGTACACGGGCTTGGAACTCAAAGCGAAAGTAGAAGGGCCAAACCTTAACGTGACAGATGTTTCCCTTGTAAGCAGAAAGTGGACTCTGTATATTTTTTTAAACCCTTCATCAGGCTGTGTACTCCTTTGAAATGTAAATCAGATGAGGTTTCAATCCATATGCATAATTACTAGCTAGGAAAAAATAGTTTATAGAAATGTAGTTCAGCTGTTATTCTTAAAGAAATAAATCTTTTGCATCAATAGATTTCCCAAACTAGCTACCTGAAGGTGAAAAGGACTATTTCTCTTTTGACATGCTAAATTTACCTGGTGAGCATTTCATGGAGGTGAAAAGAAAGATGCAGAAAAGCAGACAGTTTCTGTCTTCATACAGACCCAAAAGAGGGTGACACTGTAGTAGTAAGAGTCAGAATAATTCATAGTAGTTTTTAAACTATATAACTTCATGGGAAATGAAATATTTCCAGAAATCTAGGAGTGTGGGAAGAACACATTTCTTTTTCTCCAGAACGAAAGTTTTGAGGAAAGCCCCCCAAATCTTCCGTAGTTACTTACATACCAAAAGGGAGCTTTATTTCTAAATAATGAGAAATAAATTGTGTATAATTTGTTTAGCACATGAGAAGTACTGCTGGTTAGTTATTGTTATGAAAAGTATGTATTGTAAAGTTTTTCAGCTTATAGCTGATTTCTCTTGATTGTGTTTCAACCATTCTTCTCTTTCATTTCTGTTCTGATACAGTTTTATGCATGTAGGCTTTCCAGTTCTGTTCAGAGTTTTACAATTATCAACAGCTGAGATTAAAAACAAATTACTTTCACATTACATTAGTATTAGCTGTGTACATTTTTAGAACAACTACATTATCAAAGGATAAACCTAAAGGATAAATTAGAAAGGACTACCTAGAAAATTGTTGTTCTTTTTGCTCTTTATCCAAAAACTATGATCTGAAGAAACAGAATGGAGTTTCTCTGCTCTGCAAATGAGAATTTTTTATTCTCGAACATCATTGACTTCAGAATGAGGGAAACCTATCTCCTTGTCAACTATTTTGAACTGCCAATCTATTTAATCCATTAAAGATCTTTTCTTGAATTTAAGGGACTGGAAATTGGGTTTAGCTTGCTGTTGCCAGCCACTTCTCATTAGAAAAGAAATGCTGTTGAAGCAAAACCTTATCGTGGTATACAGGGGACCAGGATCCAGACCAGCACTGCGTGGCTCATCTCATGATGAGTATTTCACTCTCTTAGTTCATGCTGATCTTCTTGTGAAGTTACCGCAATGGGTAATTCTTATTCAGGAGAAATTCAGAATGGTCTTTTTGGTTTTACCTTGTGATAAAACAGACAAAAGCAACAGAGTGGAGACTAGAATCTGCAGTGAACTGGTCATTCAACCCTGGATCTAACACACTAGAAGAGCGGTTTAGTTTTGTCCATTTGCTATCCCAAGTTAGTGGAAAGGTGGCAGCACATAATGTCAAAAGTTGGGAGGGGGGTGTAGGGTATTTTCTGACCCCTCTGTTAACTTTCTTCCTTTCTTCCTATTTTTCATCCTTTCTTTTGAGAATTTCCCCCCAGGTATCTGAAGGTATCTGAAGGAAAAGTGATGATTACAAAAAGAGAAATTATAAGAGATTTTCCAGATCTAGGGTTAGTGGTGACATTGCCATAAATCATGGGTAACCCTAACACAGACAATCTTAAAGAGGCTTAGCTGTCATAAGCATAAATACATAGGTAGAACTGTTGCCCTCATATTTATCTTTCACTTCATAGCTTATAGAAACCAAACTTCTGTCATCAACAATTATTAATCATCCATTTACGCTGCTGAGACATATAATAAAGCAAGTACAGAGTCTGACCATGAGAGAAAAGGGGAGAAAATGTAATCCAAATTTTTAAAAGTGAAAGGAAGAAAAATCTCAGGTAACATCTGTTCGCCACATGTTCATAAATTACAGTGGGATTTTGAACATTTCTTCTCTCATCTATATGTCACGCAGGTTTTGTAGTTCATAATTTTACTAAAAACAACATTATTTTGTGCCATGCTTAAAAATGACATGTGATCAGCTGTTCAGCAGTGCTGTTGCAAGATGCTCTCCCATTGATGGCAAGCTGGTGGCAGTTCAGAGTCTTGTGGTGTGTCAGTGTTTGCGTGCAAGGCTTGTTCTTCGTAGCAAGTCTGAAGAAAGCACCATACGATTGCACCTCATGAGACTGGGCCTGAATAGGACAACCTTTGACTCTCGAAGGAAATTAACATTTTGTGCTTAGACCACCAAAAAAATGTTACTGGAATGTCAGGTCTCACTGGGAAATATGATGTCTCATTGAGAGTACGGCCTTTTCATCATCACCACATTATAGGCTGGGTTTTTGTATCACAGGATCACAGAACGGTTGAGGTTGGAAGGGACCTCTGGAGATCATCTAGTCCAACTCCCTAGCTCTAGCAGGGTCATCTAGAGCGCATAGCTTGAATGAAAAAATGAAGATTGTTACTCAGTGGGCTCATTTTACAATTTTTTTACCCACCACTTAATTGCAAGTGTTGATTTAAATGTATATGCTTCCATTTACTTAACTGAGACTTGTAAAAGGTGTACGTATGCATACACAGGTAATCAGGTTTCCTCTTGCTTTTTACTTCTGGTGAAATCTATCCACCTCTGAAGAAGAATAGCATAAAATCTATGCACTAAATTCCAGGCTTTGGGTTGACTCTTCATGCCTATGAGGAAAGTCTGGGCTATATTTATTCCAAGATGTGGAGGAGAGATATGATTTAGAGACAGAAATAGGAGCAGAAGAGGGAGAGATACCAGTCTTATGAAAGGAAATTGTGCTTTTATATTATCTCCGTTCTTTTCTCCTCTTCCTAAAATTACCCTCTTCCCCACCAAAACAATGACTTTTAAAGAAGAAATAGAGCTTATATAAGGATTTTTCACAACTAAATATGGTAAATAATAATAAAAAAAATTAAACAGAAGCCTTGGATTGCAATATGTAGGAAGCAAAAGCCAAATCTTCAGGAAACACCCTTGCAATAAACAAATTAGAGATTTAAAGCGTTCCAGAAATAAAGCATACTCAGCACAATAGCAACATTTAGACTCCTTAAGGCCGAAAACATTTACCCTTACTGTAGCTGTAATATGTAACTTCAGAGTATTGCTCAAGAAAAATATGGCTTGGAAGCATGAGAAATGTCCATGGTCTCTATTTCTCTGCAATCGTAGAGGGGAGTTCTGATTTAGGGAGCAGTGTAAAAGATGTCAGTGGCTGCAAATACTGCTGGAAGTATTTCACATTGTTGTCTAAGTAAAGAACACACAAACACTATCTTCCTCTGTTTCATTTAACAAAGTGCTTAAGAACAAGCTTATAGTTTGGTTTGAGTAGAAAGTGACAGATTCTTTAAAATTTGGTAGGATATCTTGTTGCAGTTATAAAATCCTAGCAAGAGATTGATTTCTAAATAATCAAATTACTTTGTTAAACTAAATACTCACATTTCTCTTCTGAACTCTTGAGACAGCTACTGAATTTTATAAAAGGCCATTAAACGCAATGCATAGCAGGCAACGTCCTGCTGACCGGAAAGATGACTTTCCCCAGGTGAGTTCTTGAAAGGAGGTCTAAATCTGCCAAGAAACGTAACAGGGTTCTGCATGCCATGAAGTTACTAAAGCAAGCAAAACCAATGAAAGTCCATGAAGCCCACCGGCCAGTGGGGTAACTCCCAAAACCCAGGTGAAAATAAAAACTTTTTAAAGAAGTTTGAAGTGGCTTGTTGAAGATTAGCTTTGTCTGGAGCTGCACAGTAGAATAATTCCAGTTATTGAAAGGACATGCACACAATTTATTTTTGCATAGGAATTAAGAAAACTTGTGTAGTGGGAATGCCTTAAAAGCCTAATTTTTAGGTTTAAAGGGCATTAAACTATTAGAGCAAATAAGAGCATTTTTGGTTCATCTTTTTATTATTCAGAGATAGGAAAGATGGTGCTCATGTTGCAATAAAGAGCAAAGTGAGATGGTAGCGTCTGTTTCTGTTTTCATAAGAGAAAAATTTTTCTCAGCTATCTTTCCTTTCCGGTGTATTGTTGACAGGTGCAGTATGATCCTTCTGTCTTGCAGGCCTACGGTCTCCTCCTGCTCAGAAGGCTCAATTCCAATAGATGGCCTATGAGTTCTACAAAGATAAATCAATTCCATTGTTTTTTATCCTGGAAAAAATGAGAGTAGAAATCAGCTATGCAATGAACAATGAAGAGCTCCTGAGTCATACTTAATCTGATCTGACCTAAGCTTGTTAAGCTTAGAGGAATCCTACTGGAATCCTGTTGGCTTTATTTCAGGACAATGGTTTGTGAAGTGTCTTGCATCCGTGAGCACTTCGCGTTTTTTACTTTTCTTTCATTTTCACTTAATGTATTTGTTTATCAACAGGGGGGCACATCTTGATAAAACAGTAAAATATTAATCTGCAGTGAAATTATGTTTTTTAAATTTATGTGTTGGGCATTTCAGGTTGCTTTAATCTGGCATTATTGCTAAGTAAAAACATTTTTCAAGGAAAAAAATGTCTGAAAACCTTGCAAGATTTTAATTCCAATTGAATCGTAGTGTGAGTGGACAACTGAAAAATAAAGTCTCCAAAATTCAGTGTTGTCAAAATTTTTAGTTTAATGCTTTTTGTTTTTTAATTCTAGAGGATGCTAGAAATTGTCAAAGAAGAGATTAACATACTTTTCCTCATGAGGAAGCTGCCTGTTAGGTAACGTCAGTGACCACAACAGCAGTTACAGGGGAGGCTCAGGGAATAAGTAAGCCCCTGACACAGATAAATTCTCTTCCCAGGAAGGTAGAATGCACCATACAGGAGAAGATCTATAGGATAGGAACTGTGTGCTCAGGGAGCTGATTTCAAGTAGGAAACAGCAGTTCATTGATATAAGCACGCTGGAGATAAACCAGGGTGGGAAAATACCTGCATTCCTGGATGGAGCTTTGCTTCAACTTTAACTCCAGCTGTGAGCAGTAATTTGCTTTTTGTTTGATTTTTGCAGTCGGTGACTGACCATGGACCAGACAGTCCCTGCTGCTTATGGACAACGTAGCCCTCCGGACAACATAGTGAGGACTGTATGACCGGAACTAATTTATCATAGGAGAGAAAGTATCAACAGCTGAATTGCAGTTTTGATTTTGTTGGTAGGGAGCTGTAACGATGCATCTTGCATGGATAATATAGATTAAGATACATGCGGTGGAAAATCTCAAACAGAACCTGCATGAAGAATATATTCACTATAATTGGGTGAGTTGCCTGTAAAATGGAGTCCCAAATGTCATTTAAAATACTGCCCAAGTCATAACTCCTGATAAATTCATTTCTAACGTGGTTCATACTTTATGAGTTGCCTTTGTTCAAAAGCGTTTTAAAGTGCTTTGTGGGCGGCAACTGTACGATCCAGCCTCTAGAACATGCCATCTCCTGGGTCGTGCTAGACTGGCAAGCTTATGCAGGGGATTAAAAGATTACAGATGTAATTAGAAGTGGCTAGATAAAAAATGGTGAGTGGAGCATTTTGTACACTCCTTTAAAAGGATAAAATGTTTCTCTGGTACCAGTCAAATGAAAGTGCGGATCAGATTAAAATCTGAATGCTAGGACCCTAAGGAAAAATGTACAAAGAAATCAATGTTTCATTGCACCTGTGTAAAATGAGAAAGTGAGATGAGTAATCTGTATTTAGCTCGCAGTTCCTCAGTGGAGCAGAATCCAAAGATCCATCAAGCTCCTAATCAAAGTTAGAGCTTTATTTTTCCAACAGCAGAAAACAGCATTTTGACATTTTGTATTACATTTTCCTGTTTGAATTGCAAAAGGAATTTCCCAGAAGAAATAAAAATGAAAATTATCCATGTTTCTAACATCTCTTATGAAAAAGCAGAAATTCAGGACTGTGTGGTTTTGGAAAAAAAATTGTGTGAAGTTGAGATATTTCCCTTGTTTTATTCTGTAATATTTTTCTTTTTTATATTGTCATACTATTTTATAGAATTTCACAACAAGTAAAAGTGAATAACGTGAATTTACAGAAATTCATATTCTAGGTAAATCATAAAAGTGAAGCAGATGGTTATCTCTCCTAATACTGGGTTCAATAGTTAAGCTTATTTACTGTTTATTCACCACAGAACTGAGTAGAATTTTGTCACATAATATTTTTGCATGCAAATGCAGTTTTGTGTGACATTGAAATATTGTCTTTCAATTTTATTTTGATGAAAATTATGTATGGAAAGTACTTTAAAGCTTAATATACAATTTAAAAAAATTGTATTTTATTTTAGTTTTCATTTTTGTATTATTTTTACTTTTGCTTTATTGAGGCATAGTAATGGTAATGTATATTATGCACGTCATATACATGTGTGCAGTTGTTTCATTTTGTGCAAACAAAACACAAGTGTTTTGATGTAAGAGAGAAAGAGAAAGAGAAGGTGTTTCAGTGAAGATTGTGTGTGAGCTTAATGATGGTGTCTTAAAAGATCATGAAAATATAAAGAAAATCTACCACTATTATCAAGGCATAGTGCAATAATGTAAAATAAAATACCAGTTATAACAATTAAATACTATTTTGAAGGTCTCTAAATGACAGTTTTCTAGGATGACAGCAATTGATTTTGAAATATTGTTTTTGTGGCGTTTTTGTCCCATTGAATTTTTCCAGATAAGCCAGTCTCAACAAAGCAGTGTTTAGCTCCATATGGGTATTTAACAGTCAAGCTTTCTTTGTGAAATTTGAAATAGGAATTAAAAAATTCCCTGCTTCCTTTGTTTTTTTCCTATAGTTTAGAAACTGTTAACTTATCTCTACTTCTTATGAAATAAATGTGTAATCTTCTGATCAAAGCAGCTACAACACTAGCAAATTTGACAGTTCTGCAGCTCCCGTAAGGATTTTGCTTTTGTTAGAGTTGTAACTGGGCTGGAAGAATTCAGCACACAGTAGTAGAGCAAAGACATTTTCCCAGAACGCAAAATTTCTGGAAAAGATAAAATACCTGAAGAAAATAAAACTCAGACTTTGAAGAAGTTTCATCCAGGACTCTAGCTGACTTTGTTGCTCTTTTTCTGCATTTTCCAGATCTTCCACTGATTTTAACAAGATTAAGTTTCTAGTATATCCCTGGAGTGCAGTTTTATCCCAATTAATGAAATCAGATAAGTGTTCAGAATGGCTATTTGTTAGTGGTGTGTGTGAAGAGGGCTCAAAGGGAATTACAGAGGTGCTTAGATTCTTGAATCTTGCAGATTAGTAAACACATGGATAAATACAGACATGGAAGAAACAAAACTGCCCCATACATTGGTCCTGTGCACCTGTCTTTCACATGTCTGTTAGTGCTTCAGAGCTGGTTCCTGAGCCATGAAGGGGAAGAGATGCGGTAGGAGCAGACACAAGTCAAAGACTGCAGTTGTTGGTTTTTAGCCCGATACGTTTTGATGGCAATACCTTCCACAAGTTGCCTTCCCGCATAGGAGCGCGGCCTGGTGTGCACCAAAGCAGATGAGTTCCTTCATTCGCCTGCTGTGCGCAAGCAAATGCTGAAGGTGGGAGGAGTGTAGTAGTGTGTAGGGGGTTTTGCTGAGGGACCTGAGAGGCATCTGTACAGATAATTTCTATACTTGTACCTTTTGTGCTGTTTTTCTTTCCTGAAAGATGACAGTGGTCAGCAGGGGTAAGTGAAGCAGACAAAAGACTGATATCAGCCCAGTGGAAACGCTACATGTAACAGATATGCTAAATACTGTACAAGAATGGTTATTGCCAGATTATTGTCCAAGGATAGTTTTGCCTTGTAAAAATCAGCTATCTTTTTGTCTGTCTGTCTTTCAGATCAAGAAGATACTGGGGCTTGCAATGCTTGGATTATCAAATTTATACACAGAAGGATACAAGTGTAGGTAAAATAATAAGAGGTCAAGACTAGGAATGAGCAACGAGTTGCCTGTGACTCTTCTGTGCTGGAGGCATGGTAACGCACTTCAGAGGAATTAAAGGAATTGCTTGAAGGGAGACGTGACAAGAGACTCCGTTGAGCCAGGAGTGGACAGGCAGCCCTGGAATCCCTGAGCAGGCCCAGATTTCTGAGGGAGAAAATTTTCTTCTGTTACTCTTTGCAAGGAAAGGGTCAAGCGGTTGAATGTGTAAAGCCTTGGTAGGAAACTCACGGCTATGACAGGTACAGAAAGCAAGCTGTAAGTTTGTTACGACTTTTTGCTTCCTTTTTAAGGAGAGATTTTTCTAGTTTTGCTGTGGGGATTAGTTAGCTAAGGAACAGAAAATAGATTGAAGTAGAATAGAAGGAAGAATGAGAAAAGGCCAAAGCTAATGTTGCAGAGTAAGATTTTTTTTCTCATTGATATTTAAAGTTGGGTCCTCAAATCTTTGTTCCAACCTTTGGCTCTATGACAAACAACCATCTCAAGGAAGGAAAGATATATGTGACAATAATGCACAGGTAAAATGGTGCATATCTAATGCATCAGAAGGATTGTGGATTTTGAATTCTACTAAATCAGTCAACTTTTACTGCAGTATATTTTTCCAGTTCAGCTGGTGAGGAGGAAAGAGTATATTAAATATGAAGACCAAGCATATGGGCAAATAATAATTTTGTTAGTCAAGCAAGAAAAATATATAATGCCTTAGCATTCCTTTAATCTGCTTATCCAGTGCTAACATGACCTACTTTCCTTTCCTCAAACTTCTGAATGACTGCATGTCCTAGTAAATTAATGAGGCCCAACTGCCCGCTTTATAACGGTTAAGTCAACCAGCAAAGACTAAAAATAATAATAGCTGACTTAGGTGAACAATGAAATTCTAAATTTCAAGTATTAAATGAATAGCCATATTCATGTAACTTGTACCACAAATTGTCTTCTTAATGTTAAAACAAAAATAAATTCAAAACAAATTTATAGCTCTTGCTCTGTAGAAAACTTGCAATCAGGAAAAGGGCATGAATTATATGGCCATACCCTAAATATATAATAAATTAATGCAAGATATCTCCATATTGATCTGCTGCCAAAAAATCATAACAACTTGCTTTTATGTAAGCAAAAGGATTTGTAAACTATCAACTGAAATTATTTTTATTTATTGTAGACTTAGGTTAAACTGTGCTCAGTTACTACATTTGGCCATTGCAGTTCAGTTTTATCATACTGAAGAGCACTGTATAGAGTTTTCCAGAGATTTCCCAACCAGACTTTAATACATCCTGAATGGATAGCTCTGACTGATTTTTTGTCGCATCCAGATTGCTTTTCTTTGAAAAATGAACTAGTTGAAAATTTGGACAAACTTTTTAGTCATTTAAATTTGTGGTAGTTAGTATTTCGTTTGATGTGGAACTGCTCCGCTTCTGTCCCATGATGCCTATATGTTCTTTCAATTACATTTTACTTCCTGTTGTTTTAGGGTAGCTACCTAATGTCAAACCATGGAGCTATGAGATGCTGTGTAACCTGCTGTGTAGCAGAGGTGATCTGGTGCCTGTAATTTCATGTCTGGGAATGAAATTAATGGAAATTGTCTTCCTCCGAAAGACATTTGAAGAGGCTTTCATCCACTGAAATAAGTGGAAGCAAGCTCCCGTAGGTACTTTTAATGACTAGAGAAACAATAAGGAGATTTTCCTGCACTGGGATTCATGGGAGTGGGAAGAGATTTGAGAGTTTTGTGTGAAGCGGTTCCCAGCTCCCACGCGTGGCTCTGACCCAAGCAGCGGGAGAGACGTCTTCACCAGCGCTGCTCACGGTTGCCGGCGCTGTGGCCTCCCAGCATTGACAGGGTCTGCAGCAGCTCAGAGAGGGGTGCAGAGGGGAATGGGGGAGGCAAGTGCCTGCTCATCCTTTTCAGCTTCGTTTAATGCCAAGGCATGCGGAGCAGCCAGCGGCTTCGCGTTGCATTTGGTTGATGCTATGTGTTTGTTCTCCTCTCACAAATATTGCTGCTGTCTGTGCTGGGTTTAATTTTGGGGGTGATTGGAAGAAAGTACCTTGGGAAGGATCATATGAGGAGAAGACACATAAACCTTTCTTTCTGACTGAACTTTGTTATTTTCACAAATGTGGAACACATTTGGTCTGGCATCCCTTTTGATTTGTTTACTGCTTTTGTGTCCCACATTTGCAGAGGCTTTCCAAACAGAGATATTTCTCTCATCTGGTTTGGCTCTGTCTTCTGCACAGAAACCCCGGTATAGGTGGGAGGAGTACACATCCATGGTGTTTGGGTGGGCCATGAAGGGCAACAGTGTGAACTTTTGGAATAACCTGAACTGTACTTTCAGCCTTGTCCACAGTTCAGGTGTAGAAATTATGAGATTTATTTGGAAACAGCTCAGGTTTAGAAATGATGGAATTTGTTTGGAAATCATGTTAGGCAATATCAGCTGTAAGCCCTTACTTTGGTTGTATACAGCTCTTTCTTTACATGTTTAGTTCATGTATGTGAAATATTGTATGACTGTTATGAATTATTCCGCTTGTATGCTTTGGCAAATACGCAGTGTGGATCATTTTCAAACATAATTTCTATTATAAAAATCAGTGGCTCCTACAGTGGCTTGAAGCTAGTCAGGTAGGTTTAAACTAGCAAACAGCTTCACAGATGGATAAATTGTGACCTTAATTGTGTTATATGTAAATAGTTCTATGTTTCAAAAAAGTATTTGCCCCTTAAGTTGTAAAAATAATATTACCAGCTTTCCATACAACCATAATTCCCTAAGTCGATTGGGTGTATTTCAGTGAAATCAAACTGAAAGGAGGAAGAAAACCATTCTCTCAGCCTAAACTTTTTCCAGCCAGAGCCCTCTTCCCAGAGTCTTCTTTCTCTCCATCATCTCAGTTGGCCTTACCCTTTTCAAATATGCTGGGGAATTAACTGCTAGCTCCACCACCCTTGCCACGTGGCATATCCGCCAAAGGTTCGGAGATCAAAAAAGGGTAATTTTTTTCTGCGTATACTCTGAGACTCAGTGTACAGATCCTGCCACACAATAGCCTTTCAAAAATATATGGACTTCACTTAACCGTCTCTGTAATGGCCAAAAGAAGACGTTTTTCCCCAGAAGCAGTTGCCTAGCATGCATCATTTTTGGCAGTATGTACAAATAAACTTCTTGTAATTGATTTAATCATTTTCAAATAAAAAAATTATGATAGCTGTGGACAGCTATAAATAATAGAAATGAAACACATTATTTGCACTGTGCCTTCACATGCACTTGTTTAGCTCTTTTTGCTGTTAAGTTGAAACATCTGTTTCTATGGAAGTGGAGCATTCCATGCAACAAACACAGTACTGGAAGTGACCCACATATTAAATGACAACATTTGACAAATTCTAGCAGTTGATTACTGGGGAGGAGTAGACTGTGGTTATAATCAGAGTAAACCAAAAAAATGTGTACCTTTATAAACCTAGAATTTAAATGAAACATCTGTATTAGATCATGTTTGTAGAACAGCACCGTAGCCAACTAGCAGACCATATGATAATGGGGTGTTTTTAACAGTCCCTATTTCCATCACCATCCTCCAAATCAGATCCAGACCATGCCCACTGGCATGAATTCTGCTGGAAACCAGTTGGGACAGCTTCAGGCTACAGCTGATGCTGTCAGTGTAGGTACATATATCCATAAAAAGTTAGTGATTCCAATACCTGATGGAGATTATAAGCACAAGTGGAAACTCAGGTGAATATTAGGGTGATATGTAGGTCTGGTGATCCTAATTGGAAGACTACTGTACGTTGAGGAGTCAGTGATCCAAGTCAGAGTTGACCTGAGCAGGCGCAGGCCTGTGCTGCACCGTGCTGCGCTGCCCATACAGCTTGGCCTTCAGGCTTGCGCTGCGCCCACGTGTCCCTTGGCCTCTGGATAAACTTAGCTGTCTAATCATAACGAAGGAGCCTGTAGGCAGCTCCCACTTGGTACTAGCGATTACTCCACATTCTCACGTTAACTCCTTTTGTTTGACAATAGAAATGATGAACAGAATTGTTTTCGTCTAAGGAAATCCTACAAGAGCTCTAAAGATCAAAATTATCAGCAAGCCTCTTCATGGACAGGATCTTCACGACATGCTGTGCCGAGGTCTGTCCGATGCTACACAGCTCAGGTTATGTCCCAGCATCAGGGACATAAAGTTATCTATCCTCTTTTTCCTTCTTGTGTTAGCTCCAACAAATGATATTTTAAGCAGTACCTTGCGGAGTGTGAGCCCCTTTCTTACTGTGATCGTAACAAATGCTAGCCCTGGTTTCCTGCACCGCTGCACTACAGTAGGCTACAGTAATTTCCAGGCATATTTTAACTGAGATTTACACCCTGAAAAAGGTGAATACGCTACAATGACTGTGAAATCTTATGCTTAAG